GTCTATTAATTTTTCTATTAATTTAGTTATTTAGTTTTTGATGTCAAAGTATGATAAATTTATAAAAAGTTCGTTACCGGTAATGCATTATTACATTATAAAAAACATGTATAATTATATCGCCATAAACTTTGTGCATCTTTTTATTTTTTATTCCTAAATGTAGTTAGTTGTTCGTTAAAAAAAAAAAAAAAAAAAAAAAAAAAAACTTTTCACCGAAAATCATATAATCAGATTATTATTTAAAAATTTTGAATATTTTAATAAAATAGCTCTCTTCCACTAAAATAAAGTTCTTTTTTGCTTCGGTAAAATAGTTGCCGAAGTTCGATCGTAAGCCACGACCCAAAGAATGTGTTGCTTTCCTTGTTAGTTCCTCTATAATATATAGTTGTTTTCTTCGACTTTTTATTTATCATAGAATTTTGCTCAATGTATTAGAAATAACAATACTTCACTTTTTCGACTTATATATCTTTTTATATTTTGTAAAAGCTCTCTCTTTCTCTCGTGTTGACTTTGCCACAACGTGGTCGAATACTTGTCTACCGTCTCGTTTTTTTTTTTTTTTTTTTTGTTACCTTATCTATACTGTATTACGATGCTTTTGCGGCTGGGAGGAAATCGATTTTAACACCCGTTTTCCTATTATATACCGCGTCAGCCACACATTTTTTTCTAGATGATTCGATGTGTAATTGATGGTCTATGAGCGTGACAAAAAGGAATATATGCTCGTGTGTGTATTGATATGGTTTGTCCAAGTAAAAATTAATAATGCTTTGATTTTTGTCATTAATCATTTAAATATACTCTATGATTTTTCAAAATTATTTAACACTACGTAAATTTTAAGTTAAGGTTTGCCGAAACTTTTTGATAAACGAATGCAAGGCGAGTGATGAAGTAAGCATCGGTCAATGAGCAATAAGAACATTTTATACCAAGCAGAGTAATTTTTAATATTTAATAAACATCAAATGTCAACTCGCAACATTATTAAGGCATTTAAAATCCAATTTATTATGGTAATCTAGTCAAATTAACTTTATTGCATATTTTCCGTCTGCAAACTATATAAATAACAATTATTTGCAGTCGATAAAACTTTTCAATGAAAAGTAAAGTTTTGGCCGAAATACCCGAATGTTCGCTTTATAAACAACTTGGTAAATACAACAATATATAATCGATATGCAATATTTCAATTATATTGCTTTAAGTTTATACTTTTTATTTGGTTTGATTTATGTAAATTAAAATGTTTCTAATTTAAAATGTTAATATTATTATCATCTAATTATGGACGTCACTAGCCAGACATTTGTAAAACAAAACAAAAAAATAAATAAATAAATAAAATAAAAACAACAAAAAACTACATACGAATAGTAATTACGTATGATTATTCAACTTTTAAGCAATCAAATTAACAAAAATGAAAAATCAACGATACACTCTAGATTCCTACTTTATCAATCACTAAAACCCTTCCAAAAACTGTTTTCCTTTACACGAGTACGCATTTTATCACATTTCACGCATGGGTTCACGTTTCCACATAAGTTGGCATTATTTCCATGAATTTTCATCACTAAAATTCGCTGAAACATTCGTTGAAATCAGCCTCAAATTGTCGTACAAGTGCGTGGTTTGATATTTTAGCGACGTGTCGGGGAGAGTCCTCGAAAATCCGAAAATTTTCAACGCACCCGACAATTTTCCACTGCACTTGTTTAGCAACGCGCTCATCATCGCCAAGCTGTTGTGTCCCTTCCGAATGTCGGCATCACCGACAAATCTCTCCAGCTCCTGGCTATCTGTATAAGCGATATCCTCTCGATCCTTCCGATCGAATCACGCGTCCGATTGTTCGCTCCGCGAAGCTCTATGACGTATGTCCGCTTTCCTCATTAACCGCAGATCCACTTTACGTCGGAAAGTGCTAATGGGCACGATTGTGTCGCGCGCGAGAAAATTAAGCATCGCGTCCGTGGTCGATGGCTGCTCCCGATCTTTCCCCGTGCACACCCACGCAGTCACATAAGCTTGCGTGCGTGCGCGCGTGGTGACGTGAAGTCGCGATACCTGTCGTCGACAGTGTTTTCCGCGCTATTGATGGAGCCGTAACTAGGGTAACCAGCTACCGCTTTCAATGTAAGGAAAGGCCGTAGTTATATCTTTGGCTTTTCCCTTTATAACGCACGTCCAATGAATGGATTTAACATTTTTCATTGATGTGTGATGTGTGAGAAGGACTATCGAAGATTTGTGCTATATAATCTGGCGAGAGGTAAGAATAATTTTGCAAGGGGATATTTGAAATAATGCGCAAAATAGTTTAGGTGGACGTGAAAAACGAAAAGGGGCCATATATAATTAGATTTTATTGTTTAAAGAAAGATTTCAATATTATTGTCAATCGTAAATGTGAATTAAAAAAATATTTATATTTAAGATTAAAAATTGAGATATTTTTCTGCATCTCTGATCGTATGAGATAAAATTGATCAAACTCATTTTATAAACTTGCTTTGTTGCTTTGTAAATTTATTGACACGCTACAATAATAACGACCACAACAGCAAAAACAGCAACAATAATAATATTTTGTGAAAATTCTTCGATTCAGAAAATGGTTATTATATTACCATAGTCTGGTAATGTCAAAGTTTAATTGATTTTATATTTATTAAAAGAGATGAAGGAAACAGAAATTTCATTTTAGTATTTTCTAATGAATTTTACTCTCTCAGGATTTTTAACTATTAATCTATTTTCCCTTGGAATTTATTAGCTATTGCGTATATATAATTGGGATTTTTGACGTTGATTTTAATATTTTTACATCTCCGGGTAACTTTTAAAAAAAATTATTTGAAATATTTATAAATTTTGAAATAATTCATTGAAATCATAAGGAAATATTCTAGGCTCGCCATCTTACATTGTTTCTCAAATATTTGTATATTGTTTTTTAAAATATTTTAATAATTCATGTTACAGCCATAGGAATATTTATGCGCAATACAGGATAATAAATTCATCTTTTAAAACGAAATGTTAGTTTTGAAAGATTTTAATAAATTATTTTCTTCTTATATAAAACTATAATGTCAAAATTTGTTACGTTCGTTTAAGAAAGGTGAATTTAAAAATTTCGAGCAATTTTTAGTCGATAGAAAATAAGAATCGTTGTTCTACGACTAATATTTTATAGTAGAGTAATGATGAATAAAAACGATAGAAGAAGCGGGGATATATTTTTCACGATGCGATGAAGAAAAATTTACTCTTAGCATCTAATAACATTGTACATTATTGCGGTAGGATATGCTGAATCATTAAAAGTAGAGATAGAATACATGACTCGGTATATATTTGAAATTGTATAATAAATTTTGGACAGCGGTGTAGGGTGAAAAAATTATTCACAATATAATGCAGTTCAGCGAGGATCTCTTATTATTGTAAGTCCTGTGATAATGCCGTGTACATTTATGCGTATTTCACTTTTGGTTGGGCTTACTTGATGTAATCCTTATGCGCTCCAGCTCCGACAGTTAAAAAATGCGTGGCAAAAGTAAGCTTTTTGTTTGATCGTTCACGTCATGATATTACGAGATGGATAATGAGATGTCGTTAAGAAAAATTACTCAAATACGATTATAATGTTTAGAAAATAATAATAATTTTTGGACTTCTTCATATAGATTGGAACGAATTATTAATAATATATCGTATGGCTAGGCAGGCGTATAATATTGCTTCTCTTGATAGTTGGAAAGAGTAAGGATAATATAAATAATATGATAATTTGAGAAGTAAATCGAAGATTCTATTGTAAGTCAATTTATCAAATCGTATCTTTTTTTTAATTTTTTTTTTTTTTTTTTGACTTTTTGATCGATTACTCGCTTTATTTCCTCTCTACATTCTACTTTTTCTCGCGTTCGATAACAATCGGAAACTGATCCTTTTCATTCTTCTAGTTTGTTCATTATATTCTTTTCGTACGAATCTATAACCTCCTCCTTTCTCTTTCTTACACTCGCTTTTCCGCGCAATTTTTTCAACGCATACATCATGACGTGTCATCCTCACTTCTCGAGTACAGTGCTAACGAGATGGCAAATTCTCGTAACAATGAATTTGTTCTGAATTAAAACATTTTTCTCATTTCTTTATTATGCGCGATTTAGTCGCGCGAGAAAAATCCTTTCTTACACGCAAATATCACAATACATATGTATGAGAAAAATTTAGGCTTAGAAAAGTTTAAAATACGAAAGATTAATTATCTATTATATTGTCGGAGATCAGTGTTTTTTTTGTTTTTGTTTTTTTTTTTTTGGAATTTATGCGAACAGTGTCGAATTAGTTTGGGGTAGAAAGTTTGATATATATTTTACACAATGATTGAGAGATTCTCAAATCTGAGATTAAACAAACAAAATACTACTTATTATTATTTTCCACGTGTTCGTCAAATTATCCTCAAAAGTCGAAGTTCTCGTAATCGTGGCATCGTAGGCCAAATCCCGCAATGCCGAAGTGATTGGCTAACGCTAATAAGTACAAAAAAAAAAAGAAAAAGATGAAGTCCGTTGATGCGTTAAAAATCCTTTGCCAGCCTATCACGACTCCTGCGCCTAAAGGAAATGAAACTACCGCGTAACAATTAAGCAAGTACATCCCCTAGGCGCATTCACACCGGGGGATGAGAATTTCGCGCCCCGCAGCCCCTTCGATGCACGGGACGCGTGCGCGCGAGGTCGCTTGTCAGGTGAGGTTGGGTCGGAGCAGCGCGGCTCACCGCAGCTCCGTTCAGTTCACCCCGGACAGTCGCGCCTCTCCGTAGTCTCCGGGCTGTTGGTTCGTTGTCGCTCGTACGGGGGAAGCTCCTTGGCTCCTTGTCGTGCCGTTGGCCGTCGTCGCCCTCTCATTCTTTCTTCCTGTCGTCGGGAGCGCGCGGGCGCGCGCGCGTCAACCACGCGCACACGTGTGCGGTCATTGCATGACTCCGGACTCGGGTGACTCGGAACAGCGGGCCGAAGGACCATGACCGCGAAGGGCGAAGTGAAGAAGTGACGTACCGGCTTTCGTTCCTCCGCTTGGCCGTGGCTTATTTTTCCCTTCAACCGGCTCCCGACTCCGCCACACAAGCCCTTCGCCCACGAGGTTGGTGAGAGAGGAAGGAGCACAAGCTGGTGGGGAGATTACTGCATCGTCGTGCTCCGGTGAGTCTTTCGCTATCACCGCGAACGTACCCTTTCATTTACGTTTCCACCGCCTCTCCCCGAAGCCCTCGTGGCTAACGGTCAATTGCCGGATCATCGATTGCAACGTTATTGTCCGTCATGGCACTGCATGCTAATTGGCTGAAAAGTAGAAAATGATGGGAAAATGATGGAAGGCTTAGATGGGTAGATGGTACATGGTACGTAGGGACTCGTGGTATTCGTTGATTTTCTTGATGTGTGATGTGCATGCGCTTGCTAGGGCAGTGCTATTTTTAGAATATTACTTATAGCTTCGTCGGAATAATAAAATCAGCACTACTACAAGCAACTAGAAATACATTTATAAGTCAGGTTAAGGGCAGCCGCGGCAGATAATTAATAAATGTAATATAATCTTTTAGCGAATGAATATCATCTCTTCTGTCACTTTTGTTATGTTACGAGCCAAGGAACGTTCGCGACGTAATGTTGTATGAGTAATTTTTTTTGGATAAATTACAAAGGAGCAATCGAACACTCGGAAAATTATTTAATCCATCCAGTAGTGCTTATTACATTGTCTGTTCAAAAATATCGTATGCGAGAAAGGCGACTCAACAGCGTCCCTTCACGGGGTTGCTCGACAAAAAAGAAGAGACGCATAAATTCACGTGGCTCCACGGAATCCGCGTCGCAAAGTCCAATAAAATAATTCGCTCTGCGCGATAACAAAGCCCGACATGAATTATTTCGCTTAGCCCTTTATAAAACGCAGCCAGCAGACGATTCTCCCTCGCGACGACTGCCATGGACAGTTTACATAAAATTCCCGCTTTAGGTGGTTCCTAATGAAGCCTCGATGGCGTGACGCTGCAGGAGTCACATGACATAGGCAATGATTTGCGGGGGAAAACGAGAGCCGATATGACCTGCCGGTTAACCCATCCGATCGACAAATCATGGATAAAATACGGCATTTCTGGATGGTATTATTCTCGCTATCGGGCGAGGCTTGTATCGCCCATGTGGTTGGCAATGAGTTTGACTGACACTCAGCGCACTAACAGCTTAAATACCATTTCTGGCTCCTGGCTGTTTCGGCTAGTGATCGCGGTACTGTTTGCTGAATTGCTAGAGCTTTATACTTGAAACGAACTTACGGGCGATCGATTTTGAAAGTCGACGAAAACAAGGATGTTCGATACAATGATTTATACACATTCGTGTCGTGGCTAAATATGTTAGCCAGATAAATGATTAGAGCTATTAGTTTAGCATAATGAATGTAAGTATTTGTTTTGTATGAAGTTAATGATACTTTGTATAAAACCTTAGTGTATGTTATGATTGAGAATTAATAAGGTTTTCGATAGGCTTATATCGGTATTTTTTTTCGTTATTTTTTCGACAAACATTGAAGAAGGGATTTTACAGTAACTTATAAATTCCACTGTTTCTTAAAGAGATTCTGATATTTCAAATTGACTTTATGTACTTTGAGAGAAAGCCAAGTATTTGAAAAGATTTTTGCGACATATACAGCGATAACTTTATTCTATGCGTTGAAATTATTTTAAAACTATTTTAACAAAACGACGAATACATACACGCATATTGTTCATGTTTTGTTTAACTAAATTTTTTTTTTTTAATAAAACAATTACTTAATGAGTGTAATTTATGCTAGAAGGATGACAGTATTATTTTATTTAATTTTTTTATATTATATACGATAGGATTAGTTTTCATGTAAACGTGTCTCTATTAGCCTTTTACGCCAGATGTTTTTGGCTTCCAAGTTTAAACAAAATTTTTAAATCAATTATTAATACTTGTCCAATTCAAATTTTCTATTCACTGGCGCATCTATTCTTGAATATAATATAATCTCATAAATAATGAGATACGGCAATTTCTAACGAAATCTGGTTTAGTATGTCAAAACACGAACATTAATGATTTAACCTTAAAATGCAATTGAGTCAGAAAATTTTAATCGAAAAAATTTTGCAATCCACAAATGTTTGATACTAAAATGCAATAAAAATTGTTAGTTTTTATCCAATAATGGAGTTATAAATTTGCACATTAGATAAGTGTATTACTCAATATAAAATTTTGAATTGTAAACGTTTTGCAGTCGCGAACCGTACCCGAGTTAACGTAATTTAATGCAATCAATACATAATTGATACGTATGTGTGCATTCTTTCATATTTTATGTAAATAAAATAATGCTATTTTATAAATACGACAATGATTCTGAAACGGCGCTTCGAGTAATTCAAATCCAATGCGTGTGACAATTTTTTTTTTCTGCCTTTCCGAGATTAGCAGCGATTTGCAAATAAATTACGAAAGTGGAGCAAGACGATAATTCTGTGGCATAAAATTACTTACGGAAAATATAGCAATTTATTCATGTACGAACTTTTCATAATAGCGAAGAAATTTTTCTTTAATTTTCTTATTATAGCGCAATATTTTATAAACGATATGTTCGTTCAAAACATAAATTTGCAGAGATCCATCCCTAGAGTCGAGAAGTTTTTAATGTTGAAGTAATACTGAAGAAATTCACGGTTTATATACTAAAGGAAGTATATTGGATAATTTAATTTTATTTGTCCAAATGAGATAATAAATTATGAAAATTCGTTAAGTAAAATAAGATCGCGAATTTGAAATAGTAGCTGTTTTCTGTAGGAATTTCAGTAGGAAATGAAAAAACATTGTATATATTTATCGGCTGAAGCGTTATAGTATATTTTTACCGTTCAATACCTGAATAAAAAATGAATTCATTAATGATATTAAGTAGTTGATTATTTTTATACTTGCTTATATTGAATTAAATTGTAATTTGGCTATGCGTATGCGCGCGCGTGTGTATGTGTTTATAAAGGTGCTAATACATATCGAAAAATTAACCGAATCAATAAATGATTTAACGAGGTAAATATACCATAGTATGTAAATTTTCATATTATTAAATAAGGAATTGCCATTTTTTGAATTAAAGCTCTCTCTTTTAAACACTTGCGTCAACATTTGACTTTGTAAATAAAAAATGTTAATTTCATCTCATCTCTAAATTTCATTTGACTTCACATTCCTGTGTAATTAGTTCTTATTTTTCTTTAAAAAAAAAAAAAAAAAAAAAAAAAATTTTTTGTCTCCCCTTTCGTTGTTATTTGTTTTTTTTTTTTTTTTAAAAAAAAAAAAAAAAAAAAAAAAAAAAATGAAATCCTAAAATGCAGACTTTATTTGTCGAGATGAATACAAAACGTTGGAAAGCGAAGATTTCATCAAATGTCTGAGTCTGAATGTTTGATTCGTTTGCAAGTTGGTGCGTTGAATGCAAAATCGTCGGAAGCTCCAGGCACCGCTGGTTTCAAGCCTGATAGCCTGCATTCCGTTTGAAGTCAGGTAGGGGTCTCTTATTTAGCTTGTTTTACACACATAGAGAGAGAGAGAGAGAGAGAGATAGAGAGAGAGAGAGAGAGAGAGAGAGAGACGGGTGTATATGCAGAAGGAGAGTGAGAGTGACAGAGGAGGCTGCCGAGCGTGCGAGGATGGAAAAGGGAAAGATTGAATGAGAGAGAGAGAGAGAGAGAGAGAGAGAGAGAGAGAGAGAAAAGTAGCTGAAGGAAACAAAGTGAAGTAAAGTTCAACGAAACCTCATTTGGATAAGCCATGCGCAACTAGAAGCTGGTTGTTAATTTGTGTCAGTGGAATAATTGTGACAGATTTTTAACAAATTCCAAGTACATTCTTTATTATGTATTTAAATTATAAGATAAAATATTTTGAATATTTCTTACGCTTAGTTTAAAAAATACAAATGAAGAAAATAATTATTGTAAAAGGTTTAATAATATGTCTTAGTACTATTTAAAAAAAGAAAAATAATGAAATAGATTATTATGGAGTATATGAAGCTTATTAAATGAAATTAAATATCCGATAGATATATTCCTTAAGAAAAATTGGAAAATGTATGAAATATAAATTGTTTATTAAAAAATTGTTAATTCGGTTTCATAAAATTAATGCTATTCGATAAATTACATAATGTAATTCTTAGAATTAATAATAATAATAAAGTACTAGAAATACAACGACTATTCTAAACCAATCAGAATCAACAATGAATAATTATATTTTATCTTTCGTTTTTTAATTAATTAAGAATGCATACTATAAATGCGTCTTCTTAAGAAATATATTTATGATATAATCGATATTTTCCTATACGGTAATCAAAAGAGACTAAAAGCAATAAACAAACTAATTAAGATATTGAAATAATTCTAGATAGAGATTGTAAAAGTTTTGCGCTAAAGTTTTTGTTTGGACACAATATCTAGCACATTGGCCTACATTTTTCCTTTAATAACCATGACTTGTTTTATCCAGCGAGAAAAACGAGACGGAAGTAAAGTTTTAGAGAAAAGCGCGACATTGGTATAACATGAACATAAAACGACAAAAAGACGTAAGTAAGCTGTGTCAGTCGTGATTTAAAAAAAAAATGTAATTATATGAAAAGTAAGATCTTTTACAACTATCTTTTATCACTAACCTGCTATTATTCTTTATTTCTTATTAATAAATTATAAAATGCCGATAAATTTTTCTCTAATTCTTCGAAAATTCATCGCAATAACTCCATTACGGTTTTCATTGTACTCTGCTAATTATTTTTGTTATTAAGAATATTAAGGTGATGACAATCTCTACAAAGTTATATAGCAAATGTATTTGTTAATAATATTTAAGTAATGATAGTGTATGTTTGCTCTATCGTTTCTTCTATTTTTTTTTATTTGTCTTGCATATGCTTTTAAAATATTTAAAAAATTTAGGTTTTAATAAATGTCTCCTTCTAGTATAAGAAAATTTATATATCGGCTTTCTTCTCCAACTGATATAAATATAAAAAATTGAACAGATTGAAAATGTATTAATATATTTTTTTATTGTTCTTGAATATTTTATAAAATTTTTAATTGTAT